AAAAGTTTCGTCTTGTCAGACTCTACCCGGTCGGAGAATAATAGAAAATTTTACCGAAGGAAATTGAAGAAAATTGAAATCAAAGTCAAACAGACGTCAAAAAATGGCGATATTTGAGTAGTTTTAATTTGGGACTAAAAGCCTTGACTTCAGAGGTGACTATTGTACAGCAAATTTAGGCCCTTGTTTATCATGTTTCAGTAGCTTTGATTTGAAAAATAGCAAAAACAACGAGAATATTAACTTTCGATTGATGTCACTGGCGCGCGCTTCGTGATCTTGCATAACCCTATTGAGCCACCTTAAGCTCCCTAATGCTATCAGTCGTTAGATCATTGTGCACTTGATTATTTCTAACAATCGCAATAAGAAAAGCGTGATGATTAGCCTTGGGTTGCGGTAAATCTTGTCCCTAAGGAATTAAACTGGGTCAAGATGGTCAAGATGGTATATAAACACTAAGTTACGAATGAATTTAGCAACAGAGTTGAGATATGAGAGATAGTTTAAGGCCATGAGAACGTTGTATGGAAAGTGATAACTGAGAAGGTCTTGCCTGTTTTCTCCTGTAAGCAATTTTTAATATGTACTCAAAATATGTGTAATGTTCCTCTGAATGTCTGCCAGATCCTGCCACGCAAAGTTTTTGAGTGTCAGGCATTTTAACTGTGTCAATAGTCCTTTCAATCTTTCAGTTTTGAAATTCATTCGCAGAGCCTCACTTTCTGCTATTTCTAGCTGCAGAGACTCGATTTTATTCTGCACCTCCATTAAAAGACCAATGTTCTGATTTTCTTGAAGGCAGGGTTTGATTACGAGACGTATACGCGGAAGCTGGTTATACGGTGTATTTTGACTTTTTCTGGAATAGTGGACATCTCCCTCTCGATTCTTTTTACTTCAGTCAAATCCACCTGATATTGACTGCCATCAAACTCGAAATGTTCCCACCTTCCTGTTTTCGACGAGTAATGGTCGATTACAACAAAACTATCATAGCTTGAGCTTGGATGAATACTCGTCGTGTTCGTGGAAATCTCAAAGAGAGGAACAGTAGCTTCAACTATTAACTGGTATTCCGTTGGCACTTGCTGTCTGTAAATAAATGTTTAATGCGTTGTGAGATGAATAGAAAGCTAGGGTTGAATTTAATGATTTTTTAACAATTACTCAGTGAATAAATGTCGGATAGATGAGCACTTATACCAATTCATTCACTGATTACTTGTGACTTCAATCTAACCAACACTGTCCAGAGCGTCCGGTCCTTTTTCATGAGCAACAAATCAGTCAGATGGTCACATGAGCAGCTCGTACTTTGCGGGTTCGTCAGTGGTTTGATTATTCTCGTTGTCACAAGTAATCATTAAACACAAAATACACAGACAATTCGCCAGTGCCTTTCTTTGTTTATTATAACTGTTATCCGTAAAATTACTTAATAAAGCTGCTTTGAATTTTGCCTTTTCTGAATTGTTCATTGAAAAAAATTATTGTATCAAAGAAACGAGGCTCGTTATTTTAGGGAATAAATGAAAAATTAACTGGTCCTACTACTCGGGTAAAAAGCTTACATTGTAAAAGAGTGCAAAAAGGAAATAGAGTGTAGCACTCCAGAGCCTATTAACGCAATTGCCATCGACCAATACCTATATCTTAATAGACGTTTGGTTGTGTAGTATCGTTGAGCATTTTTACGAGTTGTGCCGTACTTTGAGGAGCCTGCAGGACGAATCAAAATAAAAACAATTCGTAAAAATACTTAGCGCTACTACACAGCAAAACGTTTAATAAGAGATTTATCATCAAATACGTCAAATTGTTATTTCAGTAAGGTTGAATTTTGCGGATATTTCGGGAGTACAAATATCGCGTGATATTTGTACTCGTCTCGCACGTTCTCTAAACTCTATGAAGCACATCTGGATAATAAAATAAACTGGTTGTTTAGAGTGTTGCGAACTCAATAGAGCAGAAAAAACAAATTGTTTTGGTTCCAAGGTTGAGCTAGTTCATTTCTTTGAGTCGATTCTATCAAGAGTACCGGCTATGCGTTAGATAGCTGTCGATATAAATAGGCATTACAAACATGTTTGTGCATAAGTCAGCAAAGAATGAATTTTCTTCCCTCACCTTATTATTTCCGTTGTTACAATTAAAATCTCCTCTATACCAAGCTCTATACTCTCCACAGTGAACGTCATACCATGGTCTAAAGATATTTAGTTTCTTTGTTACTGACAAGAAACCCTTCCCTAACGCGAACGGAAAAAGAGAAAGAAACAATCACTCGTTCGTTAGATGTGTCTTTTTTCTGCTGAAATTTCGTCGAAGCTCTAGTAAGCGCCTGTAATGTTGAAACTTTGCCTTTTACAGCCGCTATCGTTAAGAAATCCTTAACTCGCCCGTCTCTGTGATTCTCTGATGACATTGAACACATAGGAGAGTGGATAAACTGTGTAAAGCTTCCATCTTCGAATTGCAAGGTAGCCTCATCGCTCCACATGGTCTTCATACAACGGCAGCACACAATCTTGATCGAGCGTTTAATCGTTACGCACTACATCGCAGCGCCTAAGTTTCAAGGTCTTTTGGATTGAATTGTATACTTGAGCGCTCTTCAAGACCATCTTGTTCATGTTCGCCGGCATGTGCATGGTAAGTCGAAATCAGGAGAGTTCAGGTAATCACTCAAAAATTTAAGTGCATAAAATCATATAGTGCTCAAAAATTTATATTTTGACGCCGCAACAAATTGGGAAGCTTCCAAATTGCAGGACTGACAGCTCGCGATTCAAAAAGCACCAATCAGAGAGGCGCTCTATCAAGAAAGAACCTCCCCGTGTATCATTTTCTTGTTAACATATGCCTGTCACAAGCTTAACACACCTTTCTGATTTTAGCCCTATGTTGTTCCTGCCCGCCGCCTACACAAGTGGGGCGGACATTAAAAACGTAATCGAAGCTGCGAAAAGCTTTGCAGTCGAAGGTTCTTCGTAGATTTAATCACCGCTGTCGTCAGACAGGTACGGAATTTGAGAATACTTCCCAAACGAGTCCCCGAAATTTCTTGGTGAGTATCAGAAATGGTCGAATTGTTGTTATGTGATCGGCAAGTCAGCTGTTTGATTTTCTTTGATCATGATGGCTGCAGATATGGCATCTGTCCTAAGGCTATTCGTGAACTTCTCTTTTGCTGACTTTTTAAGATGTTCCAAAGCTATTTTTCCATTACGATCTGTTTGGTCGGGAGCCTGAAAGTTACATGTTATTAACAGAAAGAATAGTTTCGTTTTTCGATTCAATTATACGAACATAGCCGTGATAAGAATTTTGATCCACGTTTATGAATCACAAAATTTACTATACAAAAAGTTTTTTTGCCACTTTCTAAACGAAATTTTTCAAGAGAACGCTGCAAAACCGTGTTGCGAATTGCATTTCAGAAAGGTTCGTGGTAAGAGTGACCAAGATATTGGCCCGTTGAGTCTTGTGGTCGAGCAGCCGAAACCCCCGGGGCGTTAGGGGCGCATATTCTTACAGTCAAAACTTATGGTCATCTTCATAATGGGGATTAGGTTCCTCTCAAAACTACATTTCTTGAGTAAATTTTTGTGCAACCCTTAAAAACGCAAAGGACGTGAGATAGCAAATTCAACTCTAATCGTACTTCTAGACATGCTAATGACGCATAACTAGCTTTACCTTCATAGCCTTATCCACCGTATTTTACAGTTTCCAAAGTTTCTGCAATGCAAAAACTAATTTCGAAATGTTGCACTGTAAGCACCTCGGGTTAATATTTTGGACATCGTATATATTCACATGTTAATTTCAGCCATAAAACTAAATATTATGATTTCGTGTTCGAGGGTTGTCAAACCTTTGCTTTCAAGGAATTTTGTTGTCAAATTCCTTGCGGTTTTGTCAACTTCGCGCCTACGGGGAATATGAAATAAAACTTGAGATAGAACGGTGTAGCAGTACCAGCTTCAATTATTAGACTTTCACAAATCTTAAGGCACAAAATGCAGACATTTTTAAAAATAAAATATACCTTGAGTACTCTTCTCCATAGCGAATGGATGATTAATTTATTCAAAAATAGAATAAAGGCGCTTACTGGGAGACAGATTGTCGACCATTAATTTCAATTCTTTTCGAAAGGCTGTTTTTAAGTTAATAGTATTCCAGTGATGGCTACGAGCTTTCACTTAATGCAAGATCATGAGACTTTGTTCGCAAGAAGATGCACGACAATAAGTATTAATTTGTCATATATCATCCTTTAGATCTTCAAAACAGAACTTCTTTCTGTCTCTTTCCCAGTGTTAAGTACACTTAGGCGAGCCCTCGTAGTAACTGACCTTTTTCACGGTCGTTCGTTCGACACAACTTTTCATATTTAAGACTTCACCAGCAAAAGCGTTGCAACAAAGCGAACGAATACGACGATTTCAGTTAAGACGTCATTTAATTAGAGGAAAGGTAACAGTTTCTTTTGCTTTATTCTGAGTATAAAGAAAAGTTGTTAACGGTGAAAATAAAATTCTTTCTTACAATTGAAAGATTCTTCATTTAAACGAGGAAAGGTGTGTATATAAGTAGTAGATGCAAAAACTAGATGTAACTAGCCGGCGTAAATTAATTCCTCAGCTGAAACTTGTTTCTCGGGCTATCAAGTTTCAATTGTGCGATGCGGTTAATGCCTGCACTATTGGGCCCTAATGGGGTAATTATTTTGTTCAGTGTTTCTGCTTACCCATATCATGCAAGTTTGGTAAGGTATAACTTTAAAAGGAAAATTTAAATCAGAATGTATTGTGTCATTGAGGAAGCTTAGAAAATTATCGAAGCAGCAGTTATCGAAATTATGCTGCTTTGCTCAATACCCTTTCAGGCAATAGAGAGAAACCGAATCCATTCTTGTCGAAATAATGGTTTTCGTTATTTTTAAATAATCAGCGACTGGATATCATAATGCTGTAGAGATTATTTCCACAACTTATCAGCGATTTAAGTAAAGATGATGATGTAATTTATGCAATATGTGATATAGCTTGAGCAATCAACCTGAACTCGTTGTAAGATTTGGCCAACCTTCGATCTGACAATGCTTGTTGAGTTGTTCGATTATCGAACTACATTTTAGCGTATTTTTTAAGCGCTAATTTTGAAGATTTCGCAAAATTTTTGAGAATAAAGGTAAAGACAGACTGGTATGATCATTTCACCCAACAATGCACAAAAAGCGGTCTCAATAATTTACGAAATTTACGTTTACAACCCGTGGCTGACGCCTGAATTGAGCACTATGAAATTTTCATTCGTGATGATACCACAAAACGGTATTTAGGAGGGAAAAATCTCCACACCCATTTAACAAAATATACACCGCCGCCGAAAGCTGACTCTTCGCTCTAAGCGACCTATTGTTTTGTTTATGACTCACTAATGAGAAAAAAAATTGCTGAAAGTCAGGACAGATATAAAAACGGTCATGTTTATCCAAAATGTTTGTTATCATTCATTTAGAGAGTGTTCTTATTGATATTACTTGAAGTGCAGTCATTTCAATTGGAAACTGTAACCTGTAATTTATGATAGCGTGCGCGACGTGAACTAATTTATTTTAGTTTCCTTTCTCCGGAGTTGACAAACCTCAAGTTTTTATGAAATTGCCAGAAATAAAATATTTCACAAAAAATGATAATGATAAAAAAACCGGTGAATTGTTACCTGGAAAGACGAGAAGACTCTATAGAACTTGGTTTTTCTCTTTTGCCTGCTGCTAGGAGTTACAGATATTTACCTGAATTAATCATGCGTCACGCACAGTTTGTTCAGGAAACTCTAACTTTATATTTTACTTCTGAAATGTAATTTTGGTCTTTTTCGAATTGACATAACAGGGAAGTATCATCAAGAAATGAAAATTTTCAATTTTCACCCAATGAAAACTGCAACTACCCTTGCTTAAGGGACCAGTATTGTTCGACAAATCTAATTTGAAATGTTTGAGGTACGATAGCTTCAAAAAGACAGACAAGTAACCATGTGAAAAGGACGTCATTTTAAATGGCTTATCAGGTGGAGTCACTTGATCTACTTGCAGAATAAGACGTCAGGTCTCGAGTATCACATTCGACGCACGTATAGAAACTGTAAAAATAAAATAACAATGCTTTAAGAATCTTGAAATATATTTCGCTCTTCTAGCCTCAGCAGTCGAAAAGAACCTCATGTAGGATGCATTAAAAATGTATGTGTGTTCCCAGAGGTCATGTAACTTGGGGTAACTTATTTTACCTGGTCTTGCGTGACTATCACGCGTGAGACGCGGAAACAATTCCACTCGCTCTTAGAGTTCATCAATGAACCTTCTGGTACTTTGTCTATTCGAGCACCCTCAGACATTTGCCTCAGCATGGCGTCTTTGGAGTAAGACCCGGAAACGTTCATCTCGAATTTCTGCGCGCTACTGTTGTGTTTCTCCTTACAATGCTTCCATAAGACTGATCTCTCTTCCTTTATGGCTAACAAGCCAACTGGGAGCAGGCCATCAAATTAATTCGATATAAACCCGTGGATGATAAATCAAACAACAACAAACATATGAAACATATGTGTGAACTGCGGTTATGAGACGTATATGAGAACGATCCTTCGCAGTAAAGCACTATTTGAGCAATAGTGAAAATCAGTCCTTTACTGATTTACTTCGCTTTACTTTCAGGTCTGATTTTCACTATTGCTCAAATAGTGCTTTACTGCGAAGGATCGTTCTCATATAATTATCTTCAAGTTGATTAAATTTCGCATAATTGCGTTGTGACTATTCATAAAGGTTATGAGCGGTTCGTTTTAGTTCTTCAAGTCTTGGAAAATCGATGAAAAGAACAATCCACCTGGGTTCTTATGTGTGTTTACGTGAATATATTATTTACTGTAAATGGTTTGAACCCAGGGTAACATGTGATAGTGTAGTCTGATCTTCTGGTGAGTGTAGTCCTGAGAAGGACTGATGTCGGTGGTGGTGACTGACGTTTCGACAACCTGTGCGGAAATCATCATAAGAGTCAAGTTCTAAGTCCAGTTCGTGTAAAATGATTGGTCAGGTTTACCGTGATGTTGTTGGCTGTTGGACTCAAGTGGCGTAAGTCGGTCGTGATTGGTCTGTTTCGATCCCTTGGTAAGGTCAGGTCATTCTGTCCGGTTCGTTTGTAATGTTAATGTCATGAATGAGTAGTTTGAATGGCGCTGGCAGTACAGTAGTTGACTCTTGTTGAGGGGAAACACTCAGAAACACCAAAACGGACACCCACCGAGGCTATTTTATCTAATGTTGAGGCGGCTCCGTCTTGGCAATGAGAGCTATCTGAGCCGATTAAGGATAACATCAAAATTAGAATGTTTACACTATTCAATCAGCGTCACTATATGACAACAACTTGACTAAAGACGAACAACTTGGGCTGAAACAACTGAAAGACGGCAAAGACATGGTTATTCTACCAGCCGACAAAGGACGAGTTAGTGTTTTTATGGACACAACTGACTATCATGACAAAATGAATGCACTAGTTCCCGACAAACAAACCTACGAAGAACTCTCATTACTGAGTGATTAGTACGTAGATCAGAGCGAAGAGTCAGCTTTCGGCGGCAGTATTTGTCGAGATAGATATGGTGATTTTTCTCTCCTAAATGCTGTTTCATGATATCATCAAGCATGAAAAAGCTTCAAAGTGCTCAATTCAGGCGTCAACTACGGGTTGTTGACGTAAATTTCTTAAATAACTGAGTCCGCCATTTGTGCATTGTTAGGCGAAATTTTCGGCCGGCTGTGCGAGAAGTTATTCGAATCCACACCCTTTTATGTTTCCATACTCCTCTACCCTATTTTAGTTAGTTTGAATAAAAATGTCAAGAAGAAGTTTTTATTTTTTGCACTGAGCCGATATCTAAATATGCGGAGCAAAAAAAATCCTTAAACTGGGGCTTTGAGATAAAACGAGTAATTCAATTTGCGCTATGTTTGATGATCGGCGCTGTTGAAAACGGGCTGAAGCGATTTTCGTTCGGAAAAAAATTATTTTAGAATACGTATACTTTGAAAAACCAAGGTGTTTTTTTTAATAATCTTTGACCGAGAGAGATTTATGGGCAAAGTTTGAAAGTGAAATCGATGTTTTGAACCCGAAATGTGTCGGACCGCTTTTAGAGAGACTGCTTATCAAATGGTGCAAGATGGCGACTTTGGACATAGTTTGATGCGGTTATTTTTTCAGGAACAACAGTAAATCGTGCTGAACTTCTAATATCATTTGCTTCTGTTTTTTGTCTTCAAGAAAGATAAAATGATCATCCCAGCTTACACGTGTTCGTCATCCACGGCATTGTACCTTGGTCGGTCATATGACGCAAAAACTTCGACAGCATCTAGTGACGTCTTTCAAGGTCAGATCAACCCTAAGCAGATAAATCAAAACAAATTTTCCTTCAAGTATGAATTGGTGAAAACCGGCAAACAAGTCAATGATTTACTGGACATATCTGGTGAATTATCACTAAAAATCAAAGCCAATCTGCTGACAATGGAAGGGGCAGGGAAGTATATAACTGAGAACAAAGAAGAGGGGACAAGTTACCTTCTGGCTGTTTTGAAGTGCACAACGGTAAAATAACCTTTACTGTTTAAACTCAGCTTAGTAGGGGGCTCTAATTTCCTTTCAAACATTTAGTTGATGATAGCAACACAAAAAAATGCGAAAGTAACCTCTCGTGAACCCTACCTTTAATTACAGAATTGTTGCCATTATTGTTATGATCATTTTGAAACAAAACCGTGATTATGAACTGAAATTAACACGGCTAAACGTAATAATTCTTCAGATTGTTGAGACGATCGACGACGGATCAGTAAAAGTAAGAGACGATATAGCCAGCGGTCCTCTTTCCTGCTCAGTTGGTACTCATTATGTAAAAAGTGTCGTCTATGGTGGTGAGATGGTAACACGCTTGAAATTCAAGACTTCATCAGCTTCAACCAAGTATGTCTCCACTCTTTATTCTTAACTGACTGCACAAGTGGAAAAAAATTAAGTTTAATATTTGTTGTTTCGATTATTTACTACAGTCTGTAATCAAAAAATTACTGCTACTGAACCAGTTCACGTGATAAATACATGGCTTTAGCTCAGAGAGTAAAATTCAACATCTTTGGCCCATGATAACATGCAGATGTAATTTATTTTTTTAAATTTGTCGATCAAATTGACAACAAGAGCAATGACTAGAAAATAGACTTTTCATATTCAGGGAAAACTTCAGTGGCAAAGCCGAAGGACAACTGAATAAAGCCTTAGTTGTTGATCCAGGACTGAAAGCTTCGCTAGGGCGTTTATCGTCAGCTTGCAGCGAAGTATCAGAAATCTCCATCGATTATTACGACACTGCTATGCCGGAAAAAACGCCAACCTCCGTGAGTGAGCTCATTGCCTTGATTGAGCAGTTTCCTTCTCGACTTAAACAAATTGAAGGTGGAAAAGGTACACCTGTGCAGGTTAGATTCATCCTCTTTTCCTTTCTGTTTTTCAACCTTAAAAAAAAGCCAGTAGCTCTAGTCTCTTATCATACCTTTTACAGCTCGCTTTCAATCCCTCTAAGCCATTAAACTACACTAATAAATCTCATTCAATGTGTCACCCAGCGTCCTTTATAAGTGATTTTCTATTGTGTGAATGTTGAAGTTAAAATTACTTAAAGTTGATAGAATAGTTTGAAAAAAAATTTCTTTTGGTATAAAATAGATGAAAGTCTGTTAGTTCGAGGATGAGGAAAACGAAGATTGTGGGACCTTCCAATGTTCAGAGTATTAATAGCCAGATTTTATAAAAAATAATTTTTGAAATAATTTTCTCCTAATAAACACGTATGGGTTGATTTACAGCGATGGAAAATTGTCTTGTAGTGAGGAGCTTAAGGTCTAAGCTCCTTAACAGCGATTTTTTCCAAGACCGTGTGAGAGGTGGCACATCGACCGAAAAATGACCATCCTCATATTTCAGTCAGACACCTTATAATGAACATAGAAACATGGTAATAGTAGAAGTAGTAAAGATTCCTTTGTGACAGCCCGAAAACGCAACATATTGACCACATTCAGTTCTTAATCAATATCTCGACAAATATTTACAGCAATAACAGTCTCAATATCTCATTTTAAAGTGCATAAAATGTACTCTCAAGGAAAATACAAATCTCATCATTGAAACCCAGGATTTTCCTGAAAAATAAAATTAAAAAACAATGTAATCAAACAGAAAAGGACAGCCTGAGGCGAACAACTTCGAATTTCAAGACCACGCGGTCGACGGCGACGATTTCGCCTTCTTACCTCGATTTTCCGTTTCCATTTCTTAGTTACCGGTCCAAATCGCTTTCTTATGCACTTTCCATCCCATCAGAAAAGTTTTTATCAATAAATAGCTCTTCCAGTATCGTTTCGGCGGAGATGTTACTCACAAACGCTCGCTCAGAGGACATGCCTTCTTCACGGGTCAAACTGGAAATTTGAAATGAGTGTTGTGTACGCTACATTCAACCGTCTACCCCCAAACTTCGTACGTGATTTGAATAACATTAAAACTGATTCGCGCTTTCGATGTGAAGCGTTAATGTAGCTTTGAAGGTTACAGATGTATGGTGACCCGTTTATTTTCGTACTATTTGCCAGAGAAAGCAAGTCAAACTAAAAAACAAATACAAATTTTTTTAAATATTGAATAACATTTGAGAGTTCAACGAAACTTAACTTACAATTCGTAGAGCATTCCATACATCTTATAGATCTTTACGTTATCTCTGGCTGACCGTTATTTTCAATAATGCATTCGTCGCGTCTTTAAATAAAACGGGGTCAGTTGGTCCCCAGACTCCCTGGGACAACGCTCTGGCGCCAAAACGATTAAACACTGAGTGCAAATCAAAAACATTATACATGCCAAATTTGGAGGAAATCGGAAGTGACGCAATACCATTTCGAGCCACCTGTAGTTGTGAAGTCATTACTCCGTATTTACAGAGGCTGCCGGAAAAGGGTGTCAAGAGCCGTCTAGCTAGGGAAAAATCCCTTACTAATTTGGGGACACTAAAAAAAGTCAGTAAAAGACTAGGAGCTGTTTACAGTAGTATATATATTATAACTGAGAGAAAAACAATATATAAAATATATAAAATTCAAGCGGAGCAGGGGCTACCGCGTGTGCAGCCATCATCCAAGAGGTCACCTATACTGAGTTGGCGTATCTTGCCTTTGAACGACTTGAGGGTCTCGACCTCCTCCTTTATACTCTTGGGTAATTTTGTCCATAGCCTGGGCCCTCGAAATCTAATAGGGTGTTTGCCATAAGTAACAGTTTCATACCTGGGTATGGAGAAATCGGCTTGCCTCAAATTGTAATTACCATTGTGTACTTTGAAGATGTTACTTATATATGCAGGACAGTTTATGCTTTACTTTAAACATGAGGATGCACAGGTCCTGTAAGCGCCTATTTAGTAGAGTGGGTAAATCTTCCCCTTTTTAATAACTGTTCGTAACTAGAATTAAAGTTCTTGAAAACCGCCCTAAGTCTCCTTTCTTGTAGTCTTTCAAGCTTTCGTGTGTCGCTTGCTTTGCAAAAGTGCCACACTAGGTGACCATACGTGAGGGGTGGTAAAACCACGCTTTTGAACAGTATTAGCTTAGATCGTACGAATTAAATTACGTTATCTCATTACAACGCCAATTCTCTGGCAGGCTTTTTTGCAGATAGAGATTATATGTTCAGAGAAATTTAGTATGGGTTCTAACTCTACTCCTACAAGTTTAATATCATCTTTAGTTTCGATTTCAACATCATTGACACAGATGTTACTGTCATCTTTAGTGAAGCCCATGTTCAAAACCTGATACTCCTTAAGGTTTCCCGCTAGTAAATTAGAGTCGTACCACGTTGTTGCAAAGTTGGCACTATCCTTTAACTGGTATGTGACAGCTGCCTGATCTGCACCTGCGTGGTAAATCGGGTGGTCATCTGCGTACATAGACAAGTTCGCTGTAAGGCAGTGGGATAGATCATTCTGGAAAACATTCCTTAACAACGGGCCAAGCGCGGAACCCTGAGGACATCCACGACTCACAAATCGGCTCCAACTAACATGACGACCGATCTTTACTTGATATTTCCGTTCATTCAATAGCTGTTTAAGAGTTGAATAGCTCTTTCCTGGAGGCCGTACGCTTTAAGCTTGCATAGAAGTAGTGGTGGGTGCAACGAGTCAAATGCCTTTGACATATCTCTTGATAATAATAATAATAATTATAATAATAATAAAAAAGCATTTGTATAGAGCTAAGCTCGATTAGTTCTCCGTAGCGCTTTACAAAATTATAGACTAATTAACATAGAAATTAAATTATAAAAAATCGTAAATTAAAAAGCGTCTTTGAACAAGTATGTTTTAAGGTTCTTCTTGAAAATTCAACAGACTCAGATGTTTTCAGGGAATATGGTAAATCGTTTCAAAGCTTGGGACCGGCAATGGAGAAGGTACGGTCACCATAGTTCTTTCGAAATGTTCTTGGAACCATCAGGAGCATTTGTGATGAGCGAGGAACGCAGTACACGAGAGCCATAATTCCTTTGATGCAACAGTTCAGCAAAATAAGTTCGAGCTAAGCTATGTAGACCTTTATAGACAAGCAGAAGTATTTTGAAGATAATGCGATACTTAACAGGTAGCCAATGAAGTTGTTTTGATGCAGGTATAATATGTTCCCATTTCTTTGTCAAAGTAATAACTCGCGCAGCAGCGTTCTGTATAGACTGTAGCTTGTTAATCATATAGTTAGGTAGTCCATAGAGAAGGGAATTGCAATTATCCAATTTGGATGTTATGTAAGCATGAATCACAATTTCAGCAGTTTCCGGACTGAGATACTTTCGTGTCTTACTTATGTTCCTTAGGTGATAGTACGAAGCTTGACAGACTTTTTTAACTTGCTCATCCATTGTTAGATGTTGATCGAATAACGCTCCTAAACTTCTTGTAGATTGAGCTGGGCTAATCTGTTCATCAACAACTTCAAAAAAATTGAGTTCAGGAGATTGACGCAACTTGGAACTGATGAGTAACAATTCGGTTTTATCTTGGTTGAGCTTTAAACCGTTCAATATCATCCATGAATCCTGAATGTGTTTTATACACATATGTCATCCGCGTGTCAGCCGCGTATAAATGATATTACAGACCATAGCTCTTAATAATATCAGCTATTGGAGAAGTATATAGTACATACAATAATGGGCCCAAAACAGTTCCTTGTGGAACGCCATGTACCAATTTACGTAGCGTTGACTTACAGTTTTCAATTTGTACAAACTTTTTACGGTCCACGAGATAAGACTTAATCCATTGGATTACTTTTCCTTTTACTCCAAATCTTTGCTCTAATCTTGACAACAGTATAGAAAGGTCTACCGTATCGAAGGCCGCAGATAAGTCTAATAGTAGCAAAACGATAGAATGGTTTGTATCAACAGCGCGTAGTATGTTTACAACCTGTCTTTGATCCCTCGCGAATCTCCAATCTTCTACCAGATTGATCAAAGTTGCTCGCAGCTGTGAGCTTTGCGATTAGCAGATGAGTTCTGGTAAAAGCGGCTGCCCAGGGCAGTGTTGATCTGCGCTCCAACCAACTTCACAAGAACTTTGCTTACACAAGATAACAGTGTTATGGGCCAGTAGTTTTCTTTCGCATTCCTGTCATCTTTTTTGTGTACAGGAGCCCAGTGCCAAACTTCCATTCGCAGGGCCCTGCATTGTTGTCAATACAAGAATTGAACAAGGTTTTTAATGGAACGGATAATTCCTCGGCACCAATTTTTAAGGCCTTGGAAGGGATGCCATCAGTGCCGGTAACTTTGTTTGTGTTAAGCGAATCGAGAGCTGCGAGGACTTGACCCTGTGTGACTGGTTTTATTTCGATGGTTTGTGTGAAATCCCTGTTTTCGTATTGTATCCTCTGAACACAAGGGTGGTCCCAAAAGCCCTCAATTGACTTTTTTTCAATCGCTGTGCCTCTGATGCCATCCGCCAAGGTAGCAAAATGCTCAACCAATTCCTCAGCCACCTGTTGTTGATCCGGAATTAAGAATAACGCTAAGTTGAGTTGCTGGACTAAAAAAAGAAAAAAAAATCAGTGATATTTGAGGGTTGTCGTTCTACTTTAGTCTTCCAGTGAAAACACTGGAGGTGCGCTCGGTTTTTAACAAAGAGGTGATAGTTTTAACCTACTCCGCCTTCCTTTTGCCGACAATAGAACATCGCGTAATTAAAGTTACTATTGTTGCCGTAATAAATAGATTTAGCCAAGCCTAAAAGCGGAGCTCCAATAAGTGAAAATTTTACAATAAAGTCTCTTTACATTTGTTAAAAATTTTTAGCCAAAAATTCATTCAGTATAGATTAAACCCATTGACACTTACATGTAACACGTGCCTGTGAAAAGTCAAAATT